GCGGTGCAGGGTATTAGCAAGAACAAGAATAGGGTGACTGTGAACCATGGTCTCCGAGGTGTGTAAAGAGAAATGAGGAGAGGAACGATTAGCAGAAAGGAAGCGCTGGGGTCCATGATGTGAAGTTCTTGATGACAGGAAGAATGACGGAGCACACAGATTGCAGAAAAGGCGCCGGAGGGCAAGTGGTAGCAGCTACAGGCGAGGCTTCTTTCTGACTTGTGGTTCTTGTGACGTCTGGCTACAAGGCCTGTGAGACGCAGAGGGCTGCTGTGCCACCCGGCTGGCACGAGGTGTCGCTGAGTGGGAGGGGCTTCCCACGCATGTGGGAGACTGAGAGCCCAGGACCGGACTGAGATCCGGAAACCCAGGGCGTCAGCCCAGGCACTGAGGCAGGCCAGTGCTCCACGGGAGCTTGGTGGCCACCGCTGCCTCTGCCTCTGCGCAGCTTCTGCTCCACAACGTCAGAAACTAGGCTCGTCCCAGAACGGGCCAAAGTCGCGGAATGCCTTTTCATGATGAGGTCATAACTGCGATGTCTCGTACGAGCCCAGATTTAGCCACGCAGATGCGAAAAGCAGCGGCGAGTCGTCCTGTAGCACCTTGCAATAAAATGGAGTCACAGTGACTCCCTCGTGCTTCTTCCTGTTCACGGCAGGGACAGAAGCTTAGCTGGGCAGGACTGCCCCCTGCTCGGAAGCACGAGGACGGAGCCTGCTGCGGGGTGTCCTGCCAGCATCCGTTCTAACTCTGTTTTTGCAATTCACAGAGAGCGAAGATGTCTACCAGAGGCAGGTGCTGTCGGTCTCCTGTATCATCTTCGGACTCGTCATCGTGGGCATGTTCTGTGCAGCCTTCTACTTCAAAAGCAAGTAAGGGCATCTCCCTCCAGCGGTAAGGTTACTTCTCAGAGAAAGCACTTTGCCTGAGTTCTCCGTCTCTGCTTTCTGCAGAGAGACTCTGCGGAAAAGGACCCGTCAGCCACCTGCAATGCCTTGGGCATGCACAGACTGTGGAGAGCGTGCACAGGCGTGTCCGAGCCTCTGCGTGTGCGTGTGGGGGGTGTTATCTTCATACACGTGACAACGCTCTTAGCGATCATGACACTCCCGTGTTTTGCACCTGCTGACCACCAGCCGTGTGAGAGGCTCGGCATGGCCTACAGGCTGGAGCTCTCAGACAGAGCACCGCAGCTGCGAGCCCAACGCCGGCTGCTGTCTAGCCCTGCCCGAAAAATAAAAATACAGGAGACATCACAGTCTCCTCCTCACACATTTTTACTTAATATTCATTAAGGTTTTAGTCAAATGTGAAACCTGAGCTGAAACATGTAGGTTTGAAGTCCTAGAACAGAGTTCTCTTAGCCTAAAACTAGATCTTTGGCTGGTGAAAGCTACTTGTTATTTGAGACTAACAAGGTAGAATGCACACACACACACACACACACACACACACACACACACACACACACACACACACACACACACACACACATGAACACACACACATGAACACACACATATGAACACACATATGAACACACAAACACACATATGAACACACACATGAACACACACGCATATGAACACACGCATGAACACACAAGCACACACAAGTGTGTATGTAGTTTAGTTTTTCCAAATGGATTCTGATGAAGGCATTTTATTTATGGAAATGATATCTCTGCACTTAAAATAGAAAACGCAGAGGAAACGTTGTCACGTGGTTTCTGGTGCCTGAAGGTGCTGGCACAGGCCTCTCCCCTGCCCGAGACCCACGCCAGTGCCTAAGTGCCTTTCACTGGGTGGATATCCCCTTGCCCGTTTGCTCTTCTAAAAGCAGGCACGTTTCCAGATGGAGTTCTGAAGCGCGTCTGCATGTCATCGATGTTGCGTTTTAAAGAAGACTATGGCCACAACTTCAACAACGAGTACCAGGAGCGTGGACGTAAACCCGGCATTGGCAGCTGCTATTTTAATACGCTGTTTCAGAATGCTTTCCCATTTTCACATTTATGCAGAAATAGCACAGTCCCCTACACCAGGCCCATCCTCCCTGTTGCTCACATCCCGCGTCAGTTGGGCACACCCGTGCTGGTCCGTGAGCGACGGCAGTGCCATGGCGGAAGCCGTGCTCCCAGAGCCCCTGTCTTCCATCCCAGACCCTTTCTTCAGCACTGTTATTCCAGGGCCCCACACAGAATCCACATCACATGAGCTGTCACAGCTCCCCGGAGACCTGGCTTTGACCAAGGCCCCTGTCAGGACACCCGGCTTTCCACGTGTCACGCCAGTCGTCCGAACCACGGGAGCTGTGTCGTATGCAGGCGTTACTGAGGCGACACCAGAATTTGTTTTACAGCATTAACTCGTCAAGGCCACAGCGCAGAAAACTGCTGGTGGGCCTCTAATCTCAGCTGTCCTGGTGTAGGCCGTGTGTTCTGAGCACTGCACTGTCTGGGCTCACCTCGCCCTTAGAAACTGGCTCAGAGGTGGTCAGGGGTCACCCTTGCTAATGCGGTCCTGAGCCCCTCAGCTGCGGGAGGAGCCCGGTGGCCGGGAGGTCCACAGCCCCTCACATGCGGGAGGAGTCGTGTGGTCAGTGGTGCATAGCTCCTCACCTGCAGGAGGGGGAGGGGTGATCCACAGCCCTACACCTGTCAGAGGGGGAGGGGTGGTCCACAGCCCTACACCTGTCAGAGGGGGAGGGGTGGTCCACAGCCCCTCACATGCAGGAGGAGTCGTGTGGTTGGGGGTGCACAGCCCCTCACCTGCAGGAGGGGGAGCGGTGGTGGGGCAGTGAGGACCTCACAGCAGTCACGCACACTGGATTCAGATCTCCGGGCGGCCACGCACTTACTGTGTATTATTAGTGGAATTCGCCCTTTCTCTTAGCCTCCTTTTTCCTCCATGTTTTCCTCAAAACATGAGGAAAACCCACACCCACAGAATAGGATTCGCCGAGGATTAGGTGGGCCAAGGCTGCAAGGGGCGCGGCACAGCGTGGAAGCGTGTGGGAGCGTGGAAGGGTGGGACGTGGCGTGGCAGAGTGGGTGCTTGCCAAGGCTCACTGCCACCATCATCCACAGCCGCCGCAAGGCCTTGGAGGCTGGGAGGGCGACGTGACGAGGGCGTCCTGGAGCAGAGCGGGGCAGCCAGGCCAGCAGCCCATCCCAAGGGCCTCCTCGTTTTAACTGTGTACGAGAAAGAAATTGTGTATTTAACAGAAGTCGATCGGGATGCAAAGCAGCTGGTCACTGTTTCGGAGCGTAATTTACACTCGTACCAGATGTCAGTGAAAGGTCGACGATGGTCATTGTGAGCCGGAGGACAGCCAGGTAGCCAGAGGATGTGTCTGTGGGGCTGCGAGTCTCTTGGGCAACAAGTGGGCCCCGAGCTGAGGTTTTTCCTGGGCCCAGCCCAGGGTCAGAGCGTCTTGTGGGGACTGTCCTGCCTCGGCTGATGGTAGGAATCTCAGAGGACCCCACCGGTGAGGAGCCCCAGTGGGGTGTTGGCCTTCAGCCTGCCCAGGTGGGACGCACTTTGATGGCAGGAAATCAGTAAACACAAAGGAAAGATAACAGCGTCAACTGCAGCCCTTTCCAGCAGGGTCGTACTTATCCCAGAGACCCAGCGTGCTTCCTCCTTGCAGTGCGACCCACCCCGGGGTCCTTTCCGCGTTCTCGCTGAGGACTGCTGTGCCCACAGCCTCTGCAGACTTCCGGCTGCCCTCCCAAGGACAGCCGAGCAGCAGGTCTTGCTGGGACCTGCCCTTACTGTCCCGTGAGAAATAAGGTGTGAGTATGTGCACAGGTCCGCGACTTCAGCCCGATTCTAACACCGCTCTGTCACGGGCTTCCAGATAAACACCTGAGCTGCCTGCAGCTCCCACCAGGGAGTCGGGCTTCCCCCACCTCTCACCCGCGTGGGCGCTCGGGTTACTTGCCACGGTCCCACGGGCCACGCCGCACTGGTTCTGCCTCAGTTCTCTTGTGGCCCAGGCCATGGCGTGACCTCATGAGAGGAAGCAGCCCGCGAGTCCTTAGTCCAGCGAGAATCTGGAGGACAGTGCCAGACAAAAGCAAGGAGCACCCTGAGTTCAAGGACGACCTGAAAGTGCTGCTCAAACAGACAGCAGTGCCCGAAGCAACAGTTGAAGACACGCTTCTCCTCGCACGCCCAAGCTCGCGTGTTCCCAGGGCAGTCAGCTAGAGGGCAAACGCACTTACCAGGAGAGGAGTAGGGAGGGAAAGTGAGGAAGCACGCGTGGGGACGGCCATGCGGCAGCCCTTCCCTCAGGTCTCCTCTGGGGATTTTGGGCACACGTACGCGTGCCCGGCCTGTTTCTCAAGCCACTTGGCCTGGGCCTCGAACCACGGAGTTGGCCGCCGAGATCCAGCTCTTAAGTGCCAGCCTCCAGCTGGACCAGTGAATAGACTTCGGGTGAGCCGGTCGAGTCTGGCCCGCACAGCTCCCACGGCAAGTGTAAATTCTGTAGTTTTTCTAGTTTTCAGCCTGCATAGGGAAGAAGGATGAGGCTAGGCGTGAGTCCTTGGTAGGCTTTTGAAATGCAAGACGTGCTTTAATTCCAAAACTGGGATTGGGATAAAGAGTCGGCGTCCTGGGAGGCAGAGCCTGGGACAGGGAATCACAGCTGGGAGAACAGAGGCCAGGGCCTGGTGCTACTGCCAAAATGTGACTCAGGAGCTACCTGCCTGGCGCTAGGGCAGTGTCCTCTGGGTTCGGCGGGGACTTCAGGCCACAAGGATGGGCCCTACGGACAGGCAGTGAGTGCACTACTGAGGCGGCCGCAGAGGCATCTCAGTCCTGTCCCCAGAAGGCACCAGGAGCTCCCTCCTGCAAGCTCACCCTGTTTGAGCAGGTGGACAGCAGGCTCGGAGGCCTTTGCCCTGATTGCAGGAGCAAGATGGGTGCAGCTGCAGAGCCCCTCCTAGGCTTCGCTGCGGGCTGTGCTGAGGCTGCATCCTACCCCAGCTCTCAGCCTGCCCAGTCCTGCTGGCTTTCCTTCATTTCCTCTGTCCCTCTGTCTATCCCTCCACCCATCCCTCTGTCCATCCTTCTGTCTGCTTCCACGGGTGTTGGTCTCAGGAGCCCTCCCTACTCAGAGGCCTGCATGCTGTCTCTGTGCCTGGGAACCCCGTCTGCAACATGTCCGCAGTTCCATCCCCACTCCCACTTACGCGGCAGCTCCCAAGGACGTCAGCCTCCACGGGCTGGCAGTGTGTCCTGACATTCTTCCTCGGAGCAGCCTGTCATGGGGGCCTCTGAGTGTCCCACTGTGCCCGTGTGCCATGAGAACGGAGGGGTGGCAGCGTGGACGAGGCGGACTCAGAGGGACAGTTTATCCTGGAATGGCGTGAGGAGGGCAGACTACGCAAGGTTTAAGACATACACGCAGATATTTTTATGAGAAAAATTCCTTTAAAGTTTATATTTCCCCCTCCAAACTGGATGGCTAAAAACGTAGTTACTGTTCCTTCTGTTTTAATTTTCCCGAGTAACTGCGCCTGGCTCTGCGAAGTACTCGTTTACTGCTGCGTGGTGGCTTACCTGCTCAAAGCCCCTGCGCTCCCTTTCGCTTCCCGAATGAATCCCTCGGAGGATTTTGGGGCCCAAGGTGCATCTTAAAATGCTGATATGATAGAATTATTTTTAACAATAGGCTACAGATTAGCTGCTAGGAAGTAAATAGATTTTTATAACTGGATTAAAGCAGCTAAGAGTGCCGAAGATGAAAGTCCCCCAGTAACTGAAGAGATTAGAGAGATGTTTAAGTGATCTGCACTGTATCGTGCCCACGTCGTAAGTTCAAAGGGGCCTGGTGCCCAGGAACTGCTGCTGTACCTCGTGAGAGCTGCGATGACCGTCGGTCCCTTGTCTTTGGGCCAGGGCTCTAATCCCTCTGCAGAGACTGTCACAAGACGGAGCTGGCTGCAGGCCCGGCAGCCAGAGATGGAGGCTTTGCCTGGGTGCCCCACCGAGCGCCAATATCCGTGGAGGGGAGCTCTTAGAAACTCCACTTACAGATGAAGATGATGTGCGAAGCAGCTAAGAAGTCTTCAGGGCAGCAGACCTGGGTGGCAGAGCAGGACTCGAATCTCGGTCCCTGGGACACCAGGCCTGTGCTCCGTATGGCACTGTGTTGAAAAGCTCCCTGTGGAAGATGGCATCTCACTGATGTCTCCATCCTCGACTGGGACCTTGGGGACAGGCAGCGCTCAGGGGCATGATCCTGCAAAGTTGTTTGCCTTCTGTTTGGGACGGGCACTGAGTCTGTGCTTGGAGGCTGCACCACTCCTGAAGAGAGCTGTTGCCCGGCAGTGGCTTGGCCCAGCCTCCAGCTGCGACCTGACTGTCCGAACAGCCGTTCCACCCGTTTGTGGCTCTTCTCAGTGCAAAATTCCAGAGGACTTCGGGCTTCACCCTCGGAAGCTGTGGGGCCACAGGCAGTGCCTCGACGGTTCTGAGTGGTGGTTCCCAGCGTAGCATGTGCAGCCAGACAGGCTAGATGAGACCCAGGCTCCTGCACTGCCAGCTCGAACCCTGGGCAGGTGGCGGGACGTCCCTGGGCAGCAGTTTGATCACCTAGCAAATGGGGGTAGTGCCCCTCCCCTTGCCTAGGGTTCTTGTGAAGAGGAGAGAGTTGCTGGCCGTACGGCACTTGGAATCCTGTATGCAGAATGGCCGCCTGAGTCCCAGCTCCCCAAGACGTAGCTGCTGTTGTATTTGGGTTGTCAATAACAAGACGTGTACTGCTTCCGGACTGTAAAATACAGACAATGCATACTTTCCTCTGCACGTTCAAGCCATGTACTCGAGACACACCAACTTGAATTGTCCAAATATAAATGTAATTTTACAAACACATACGTGGCCACGAGGCCCAAGCATGAGTTTTTTCCTCGTTCTCTTCTCTAAAGCATTTCCAAGTTTTCTCAGCCTAGACTAGGCATTAGGGACCTCTCGTACCACAGGGCCCGCCGTGCTCCCTGTCCTGGGAGTCTCTGCGGAGCGTCCAGTATGAACGCGAGCGTGACTCCATGACTCCTGGGTGACAGTGGATGGTACCAGGTTCTGTTCTAATTGGAACTACTTTGGGGAGGGGGGTTTGAAATGAGAGAAAGGCTCTCTTTGCTAACTGAGTTTAGCTAATTTAGCAAATGACAAAGACAGGGATCAGCAGTTGGTGTAATGGCTATGTCACTGGACTCTCATGTAGTCAACCACGGTGTGAGTCCTGGACCCAGTGGCTGAAACTCACGCTGGGTGCATGTGCTTGCGTATCCAAGATCCCAAGAGGAGAATGGAGGAGAAGGGACTGCGGTGTGGCCATCCCCCCTGGGTGGTGATTTCTGGCTTTCTGTCTCTCTGTTTTTCTGGCAAGTGCACATGCCCTATAGCAAAAAACTCTCAAGAAAAAAAAAAATCAAATGACAAAGACAGACACTGAAAATCAATAGAATAGGAACAGGACGAATGTATGCACGTATTTATTCATGTCCTTATTTGTGTCTGCAGGAAACAGGCTAAACAAATCCCAGAGCAGCTGAAAGAGCCGCAGAATGGCAAACACTACAGCCTCAAAGTGTCCAGCTCCATGGCCAAGCCGGAGAACCCGGGCAAGAGCCACGTCCAGCTGCAAAGCGTAAGCTCCGCGTCCTCGCTCCTTCTGCAGCCTGCCCGCGCTCCCCGCCTGCGGGGACAGGGAGACTGGGGCTCGACTCACACTCTCGCTGCAGTACTTTGTAGGTTCTTGCGTCCATCATCTTAGAGTCTATGTGTGCGTGTCTGTGTGTATGTGCACGCACGTGTGCATGTGTGTATTGGATAAAAGAGAAACATTAAACCTCAACCTTTGATCACAACCTGTAATATAAATAAATTTCTGGTAGTTAAAAGCTTAATTTTTGTGCCCATTGAAGACTTACCGAATCCTTACTTTTTACGAGAAATAACGTTTGGCACCAGGGGAACAATGCTCCCTGCCGTGTGAGAACCCACGTAGGTGAGAGACACCAACTCCAGGAGACAGGAAGAGTGTGTGCTGGGGTGGCCGAGGTTGCAGCAGGGACTGGAGAAGAGGGCCCGAAGAGGCTCGGTGGGGTGTAGACCTGGAGGCTGCCAACACAGAGTCAGGCTCAAACTGGGTTTTGAAGGGCAAAGGCAGCTCGGCAGAGCGCGAGAGGGCTCAGTGGAGAAAGAACGAGGCCTTGGCGCCCGGTCAGCGCATGCTGTTCAGGACACTCCAAGTACCGGCTCGGAGCGGCGTGGAGGGCGGCGCGTCTGTGGTCCTGGGGCGGTCCTTACCACACCAGCTCCCACAGGACCCTAGCACTGGGTGTGAGGTGCAAGCTCTCTTTCTCCTACATTGTCATAAGGCGGTTTTAACCGTTTCTGAGATAGGTCACAGAACTCGAAAGTAAAGACAGCACCAGCACGAGGGGCACAGGCCTCTGCCCCGCGAGACTGCACTTCTCGATCCTGAGACTCAAAACGAGGGAACAAAGGCCCTTCAATCAAGCCAGAATTTGAGGACTGGCGACCACCCGGGACACGTTCCCCCTCCACGAGCTTCAACCACTGGGGGCTGAGCACCGTTTCAGATTCTTTTTTTTTCTTTTTTCAGAGAGGTTTTTGCTATAGGGTGCATGCGCTCGCCAGAGAGACAAATAGAGAGAAAGCAAGAAATCACCCCCCAGGGGGGATGGCCATGCCGCAATCCCTTCTCCTCCATTCTCCTCTTGGGGTCTTGGACACGCACGCACATGTGCCTGGTGTGAGTCTAAGCCACTGGGTCCGGGACGCAAACCGCGGTTGACTACAGGGGAGTCCAGCGACATGGCAATTCTGCCAACTGCTGGTCCCCACCATTTCTGATCCTAAGAAATCCTTGCACAGAAAGTTGCAATTACCACATGTGTCACAGATGCACTTGGACATCTTAACGCAGAGTTCATAGCTCGGAATTATGTCCCAGCAAAGTTTCGTTAAACTCGCATTTGACAAGGGGCAGAGCGTTCCATTCCGAAATAGAGAATGCTCTCCCTAAGCTTGCTCCTGAGTGTAAGCCCGCTGCGTGGGGGCATTTAACTCCTTAGCCGCTGCTCCTGTCAGAGATAAACAGCGCCAGGCACTGGTTAAGGGACAGGAGGGTGTCAGTAGGACACCACCACTACCATAGCAGGAGGAGGGTCCAGCGGGGCCTGAACTCAGGTGCCAACTCGTGCAGAAGTGGCTCGGCATTTTGGTAAGAGAATGCGGGAGCAGGGAAGGCCCTGAGGCTTTGCGCAGAGGCGGGGGAGTAAACAGTCCTTGGAGACCAGTGCAGTTAGAGCAGGCCGTCGGCCGTTCCTGAAGCTCGAACCCGTCCGCTCCAGGGCTGAGGGACAGAGACCATCCAGAGGAACAGCTTTCCAGCCTTGAGAAAGACACCCCGAGGGCAGGAGCTTCACACTCACTGCCAGGGCCGTTTTGGTAAAAGCCTAGGAAGGGGTGGCTGGGGCTCAGCAAGCCCGGGTCCTTGGCGGCCCGAGTGCCTTTCTTCGCTTTGTCCTTCATTGTTTCTCCAGGCAGGCCCTTTCAGGGGAGCGGGTCTTCCCAGCACCTGCTCCTGTGTGTTCGCGTCCTTCCCGGAGGGGGCAGGAGTGACAGGGTGCTCTGCTGAGATCTGAGATTTTGGAGGCTTTTACAGGCCGAAGGTGAGGCCTGGTCCAAAGCAGGTTCAGAAACGCCCTCTGAAGTCAGTCTCCGCAGCATACAGAGCTGTGGCAGCCCGGGGAGACAAACACCCCAGCACCCACCCCTCTG